CAGACAGTATTGTTAATCAATCATTCGAGAAGCACTAAACTAAATGCATTTTGAAATAATCTGTAATTTATGGATGATTTTTCCTGCAAACCACTAGTTACATTCAGGGGAAAGGAACTCATCACCTAGTGCTTGCTCCCAATCCTGCAAAGTACCTCATCATTGAAATTTGTATTAACAGTGGCTGTAACTCAGGAATTGCTGTTTGAACTTCGGAATTTGTAAAGGAAAAGTTGCAAGAAATATGAGCAGGCATCATATTTTTATATCTGTTATAGTTAGTTTTCATATGGCTGAGTGTTACATTGTTGCGGTTGCTCTTCTCAAATAGGAACAGTACTAGGTGCTGCCTAACATATGACGTTCATTTAGCAAGATCAATAGTTACTGGTAGCCAATGTTTTTTCAACTGCATTGTGTAATAGCATGTTATTGTTTAGCTTGTGCGAATGTATGTTGTAATATGATGGTCTTATCCCTTATTGTTGCCTTGGTTTGTATTTATGTTGTCGGGTGTAGATTAACCTGTAGGTGGTTTTAACTTGCGTACTGTGTGTTTTTGGCTTGTATGTACTGCATAGCAAAGTGTTGTGTCGTGTGATAATGTATCGTATCTGTGCAAAATTGTCTTCTGTGGTGATAGGTAGTCTTGTTTGCGAATGAATAATTTTCTGTGACAGTATTTCAATGGATACTACTGAAAAAGACACATTCTGTCAAATCTTGTACTAATCAGGATACTTACAAGAATAGCAATACAAAGAGGAATAACATTTTATACTGAAAAGGTCACTGGATCCAAAACATTAACTCTGATTTCTCTCCGAAGATACTGCCAGACCTGCTGAGCTTTTCCAGCAATTTCTGTTTGTGTAACATTTTATTACTTTGAGAAGACAGAGCTTTTACAGTATAAATTGTTCTGCCTTTTAGCATTGGTATTCATGCAAAAGTTCTAATGAGCGCAAGATGAAAAGCTTTGTAAAATGTGTCTTTTAAAGCAATACTCAAATATTGTACCACCATTTCAATAATTTAGACATTGTTGTCTTAATGAGGAGCATGGACAGGATGAATAGAAGGTAGCTATTCCCCTGAATTGGTGAGTCAATCACAAGGGAGGATTTGCAGATGAAAGATTGGTGGTTTGAGAGGAGTTGAGGAAAAGCTTTTTCACCCAGAGGCTGGTGGGTGTCTGGAATGCACTATCTTGGTGGTTATTAGAGGTGGGTAACCTCATAATCTTTAAAAAGAACTTGGATGAGCAATTGAAATGTCATACCATTCAAGGCTATGGACCAAGTGCTGGAAAGTAGGAGGTGTAGATTTAATGTAGTTTTCATGGTGCAGATTCAGTGGGTCAAAGGGCCTCTTCTGTACTGTAGGATTCTATAGTTTGATGATTAATTGTTGTCCATCATGTAATTTTGCATTGTTTTTATTGGTTGAAACAAAATATGAGCAAAAGCGACTAGGTCAGATTGGGATGTCTGGTCGGTGTGGACAATTTGGACCAAACAGTCTGTTTCCATGCTGTATGACTCTGACTCGATCTCGTGATTACACGTGGATGTATGTTTTAGTGTCACTTTGTTTGTATGCGATGTTGTACCCATTGCCTTGGACACACAGTAATTAATGAAGTATTTGCGTCTATTTTTTGTGGGAGATGTGGAGGTCATTCTTGTAAGATGTGAGAGAGAGAACACGTGTGACTCTAGCATCCATCCTCACTTCATCTCTGAGTGATTTCTGTGGTTTGGCTACTATTTGGATGGCTTTGCGATATTGGCAATTAGAATTGTGAGTACTTCAGTTAAATCTATTTCTTATTCAAAATGGAATTCCATTGGAACAAATTAGTTTCCACACAGATCACAAAGCAACAATGTTAACTACTAATCCAGCTATAACTTTTCACATTGAACGTTGCCAGTTCTAGTTTCAAGCTTAATTTCAGTGTCTGTAGAGTTATACTTTTTCGTCACAGGTTCTGTTCTGTCAACCATTCCAGTTCCTTTTGAAGCAGTTCAGTTGAATGATGCTTTGGGAAGTTACATCACTTTACATCTTGCCTTTTGTGGTCATTTTTTGTCAGTAGAGGTTAGCTGTGCGCACAGTCCAAAATCTATCTTTCTTCATAGTTAAACTCTTGCATCTAGTGAATGCCTCTCCTGTTATGGCGATCAAAGATGTTGCCTCAGAACAGACAATCTTTGGGGGTCACCTCAGTATCACCCGGTAAGATGTCACATCTCAACAAAGCAAAGAAATGAGGATTGGTAATAATCCTTGATAGCCGTTATTAGAAAGTGTGCAAATATGAAGGAATGAGGCAGCACCGTTGGCTGCTCAGTATTCTGCAGGCAAACAGCAAATAAGAACTCAATCTTGTTCAAGATTACTAATTATGTTCCTGCTAATACTACAAAGTAAACTAAGAAAGTTGTCGAATAATTTCTCCGTACTATTTTCAGTCAGTATTTTTGTGTCTCACTCAGATCTGTGTTTACAGCTAGAAAATAAATTATCATGTGACATTAAAAAATGACTCAAATTAACCATAAAATTGATAAGTGATGTCGGAAACACCTGTCCTTCTGACTAAAACTTGCAGCCTGAGTCAGAAATGCGAATTGGTCCTAACAATCTCTCTGAGCAAATGATGTATATGGAATAAAGAGAGATGAATGATTGCTCTATTTACTGAGATGTCCCAAGTGTGACCCCTGTCAAACTGCACTGGTAGTTTGTGGCACTTGGGAGAGTGAGAGGTGTCCCTACAGGGGGAGAATTTATACACGGCATTGAGCTAATAGAAAGTGTGCCGAGCTTGAATTTGGACACTCTTAATTAATGGTGATTCCTTTCTATGCATGCCAGAATCCTTGTTGGCCCAGCAATCCTGTTTTTATAATGTCTACAAGAACCTATCATTGATGACAAGAAGTAGGAAATAACTGGACTGTTCCTGCTCCTGCTCCTGTAAAGAAATACAGTGAGAGGGAGAAAGTTAAGACATGGGAGATGTTGGGAGATTGGGACCCAACATCAGGATGATCTTTGGTCCTGACCATCCAGGATATGAATATGGCATACATGTTCCAATTCTTATTGAAACATTGGTTAATGGATAGATGGTGCCCTCCCATCCAGTTAGGGATGGGGGTGAGTTCTGGAAACTGGAAGACCATTAGGGGACAGGTACTAATAGAACTACAGGATGCTGATGCTCATAAGAGAGAGAGAGGGGCACCTCAGAACTGAGACATTTTCTCTGCACTTCAAAATCTTGCAACATAAAAATGGGCACAGCTACAATGAGATAGTAAGAACTGCCAATGCTAGAGTCTGAGATAACACAGTGTGGAGCTGGAGGAACACAGCAGGTCAGGCAGC